GGGGCTGTGTGTCTGAGGAGCTAGGTGGGTTTCCCTTCTTCCTCCTATAAGGAGGCTCAGGGCCTGGAGAGGTTTTATAGCTGCGTGCAGTTTCAAAGGCCCTGCTTGTTATCGCTTCTTTGCTAGAATGACACACTTTTGCAATCTGCCTTTCGCCTAGAGAAGTGCCCGTTCTCACAGCTTCTCGGTGGCAGGGAGGTGGCAGGGGGGGGAGTGAGTTCAGCAGGCAGGTGCCCGAAGTGGAGCTGGGCTTGGCCCATCCCTCAAAAATCCAGACGGGCCAAAGGGCACCATGGCACTTAGAGCAAAAGTCCCAAGCTTCCACTTTGCTAGGCTTTTGCGGGGGGTGGGGGGGATTGGTAAACAGCCCCTCGAGTTTGTTTACAAGTTTCCTTTCTTTCAAATGAACCAGATTGCGGTGGGCAGGGGAGGGCAAGGAAGACTGTCTGGGCTGGGCTGCCCCTCACCTGCACCCCTTTTTCCCAGGGAGATTCACCCGGGGAGCTCCGCCCTCATCTGTGCTTTCTGGAACCGATTGGGTTATTCTCAGGGGTGAGCTGCTGTGGGTTCGGGAGAACCTCTAGCTAAGATTCTGTGCGGTTCGGAGAACCCCTAAAATCCCGCTCCTGGCTGGCCCCGCCCACCGTACCCTGCCCCTCCCAGGAGTCCCCACGCGGCCCGTTTTGGATGCAGGTAAGTGCAGGGTGTGCGCAGAGGCTCGGGAAGAGCAAAAAATGGGCCTACCCGTTTCCGGTGTCCAGAGGGCCTCCAGAGCCTGGGGAGGCCATTTTCGCCCTCCCAGAGGCTCGAGAAAAACCTCTGGAGCCTGGAGAGGGCCAAAATGCCCCCCTACCCTGCTGTGGTGCAGGAGGCCGACTAGGCTATGCTCTACCGCAGCCATGCCCACCCAGGAACCGAGCAGAGAACCCCTTGCTACAATTTTTGAAGTGCACTCCTGGTTATTATGGCTATTTTGGGAGATGCCTCCTGGCGGAAAGTGATTCACGCCCGTTTCCATGGCTCCTACAAGTGCTGTTTGGGTGGGCTCCAAGAAAGTGGGGAAAACGCAGCTCGGAAAAGAAGCCAGTCTGGGGTGGGGAGGGGGTAGGATGAGGAAGGCAGGGGGCAGGGGTGAAATTCAGCAGGTTCTGACAGGTTTTGGAGAACCGGTAGCGGAAGTTTTGAGTAGTTCGGAGAACCAGCAAATACCACCTCTGGCTGGCCCCAGAGTGGGGTGGGAATGGAGATTTTGCAGTATCCTTCCCCTGCCACACCCACCAAGCCACACCACGCCTACCAAGCCACGCCCACAGAACCGGTAGTAAAAAAAAGTGAATTTCACCACTGGCCGAGGGGGTGGCTGGATAGGACTTTGGGTGACGGAGAAACTAAAACCCAACATGTCCCTCAGCCACCCCATTGCTTTCAAGGTGCAGGGCCACGAACCCCCTTCCCTCCGCAGACATCCCCAGGAGTTGGAGCCCACCCACCTGGGAAAGTAGGGACCAGCCTCAAGCCTGCCCCGTCTAGATATCCGCACCTGTGCTCCCTCCTTCTCCTGTGGCAACCCCCAAAAGGAGGTCAAAGGAGAACCCGTCTCCCTTCCTGGATCAAAGCCAAGGTCACACTTATATAGGGCTCCAAACATCACTCCATTTCCGAGAACCTCACAGTAGTAAAAAGACAAAGGCTTCTCCTGCAATGATTACTCGTCTTTTACAACCGCTTTTTATGGCCAGGGCCTGGAATGCGTCCGTCCGCCGGGCAGTTTAAAGAGCCCCTCGTTTCCCAGTTTATGGCCGTGATAGGACAGCTTGTTCGGGGTCACTGTCACCACACAGCCAGACATCAGACAGTATTTTTAAAAAAATGTTAAAGATTAAATCTATATTGCTCCCAGGTCAGAAGAGTCCAAGACAGGATTGTTTTGCTTCCTCATCCTCACAGGTGGATTTGTTTGGAAGGCGAACAAGATCCTTCGACCTCTGTAACACTTTGCGCTAAACCCGTCTTAGTTTTCCCATGGTAGCACTTAGCGATAGCCCTTAGACTTATATGCCGCTTCACAGCCCTCTCTAAGCGGTTTACAGAGTCAGCATTTTACCCCCAACAATCTGGGTCCCCGTTTTACCGACTTTGGAAGGACGGAAGGCTTGAGACAGCCAGGATCGAAGTGCTAGCAGTAGGCAGAGTTAGCCTGCAATACCGCATTCTAACCACTGCGCCATCATGGCTCTTTCACCCTAATGCCTGATAGATCCCAATAGGCTGAGCTCAGATATCATGCCAGCCCACCCAAGAAATGGATTTCTATCTTCTGGGACTCTGGCTTTATTTCCTCTGCTGTTCTCACAGAGGACATGCTTTGCAGGACAGAGACTAGAAATAGTCCAGGCACAGAGCACCCTTCACACAACCCCGGGGACCCAGTGCTAGCTCAGCGATTGCAGAACCTTCCCCTTCCCTCTCTTCTGGCCTCTCCCAACACCATCCATTGCCTGCTCACCAGGCTCAGCCAGAAAAGAGCTGGCCAGGCTATGGCCTGACGGGAGCCAACACAAAGAAGTGACCAGGTTCAGAAGAGAAAACACAGGCACAAAGCTGAGAGGCTTAATTCCGACAACCACGGATCACCACCGAAGGGGTGATTAACTCAGTGCCCCACTAAGGAGAATCTACATCTGGGAGGATAGAGTAGAGTAGGGTAGGGTAGAGTAGAGTAGAGTAGAGTAGAGTAGAGTAGAGTAGAGTAGAGTAGAGTAGAGTAGAGTAGAGTAGAGTAGAGTAGAGTAGAGTAGAGTAGAAGAGAAGAGAAAATGGGGAATAGAATAGAATAGAATAGAATAGAATAGAATAGAATAGAATAGAATAGAATAGAATAGAATAGAATAGAATAGAATAGAATAACAGGCCTGAGCTTACCTTGCCTTTAAGGCTTGTGGATGGGGAGTTCCTTCCAAGGGTCTGGCTGGAGGCCTCTTAATCAGAGCCTTTGGAGCTGGCCATGGTCCTGCTCTCAATAGAATAGAACAGAATAGCATAGCATAGCATAGCATAGCATAGCATAGCATAGCATAGCATGCATAGCATAGCATAGCATAGCATAGCATAGCATAGCCTAGCATAGCATAGCATAGCAAGCATAGCATAGCATAGCATAGCATAGCATAGCATAGCATAGCATAGAATAGAATAGAATAGAATAGAATAGAATTCTTTATTGGCCAAGTGTGATTGGACCCACAAGGAATTTGTCTTTGGTGCACATGCTCTCAGTGTACATAAAAAGTCAAGATGCATTCGTCAAGAATCATAAGGGACAACACGTAATGATAGTCATAGGGTACAAATAAGCAATCAAATCATACTAGGAAACAATATCAATATAAATCGTGAGGATACCAGCAAGAAGGTTATAGTCATACAGTCATAAGTGGGAGGAGATGGATGATAGGAACGATGAGAAGATTAATAGTAATAGTAATGCAGACTTAGTGAATAGTTTGACAGTGTTGAGGGAATGATTTGTTGAGCAGAGTGATGGCCTTCGAGAAAAAACTGTCCTTGTGTCTACTTGTTCTGGTGTGCAGTGCTCTATAGCCTCGTTTTGAGGGTAGGTAGACCTGCCCACCGGAGGGGGGGGAGCCTCTGAGAAAGGGACAGAGGTGCCAACCCTGGCCCACCTTGCCTGCCCATCACCCTCCTGTCAGAAGGGGGCACGATAGTCCCAAGGGGGGTGGAGGGAAAGCATAATTTAGAATAATCTTGACTGCTGCTTTGGGTGAAGATCCCACAGATGGCTCCTATCCTGACAAAAAATGGGGTTTTCGAAGACTGGTCAGTAGGGTACTCAGCCCTGACTCAACCACATCGCTCTCCAGCAGGCCATCTTATCAAGGAGTGGCAATGCTGTGAGCGGCAGAGAAAGATCTGACACTATAGCACAAGTGCCCTCTTAATGCCCTGGAGAGGGGCCGTGGGGCAGAGCATGCCACATCAGTGGGAATTCAGAGGAGGCGGTGGCTCAGACGCTGAGCTTGTCGATCGAAAGGTCAGCAGTTCAGCGGTTCAAATCCCAAGTGCCGCGTAACGGAGTGAGCTCCCATGACTTGTCCCAGCTTCTGCCAACCTAGCAGTTCGAAAGCATGTAAAAAATGCAAGAAGAAAAAATAGGGACCACCTTTGGTGGGAAGGGAACAGCGTTCCGTGCGCCCTTGGCGTTGAGTCATGCCGGCCACATGACCACGGAGACGTCTTCGGACAGCGCTGCCTTCTTCGGCTTTGAAACGGAGAGGAGCACCGCCCCCTAGAGTCAGGAACGACTAGCACATATGTGCAAGGGGAACCTTTACCTTTTAATGCCCGGAGAGGGGGCCGTGGGGCAAAGCATGCCACATCAGTGGGAATTCAGGAAGACGCGTGATTTATCCTCCGTATCTCTTAAGAGGAAGTGATGCTTAAGACACCCGATGGGTTTAAGGAAGAGAGAAACCTTAAAAAAAAATGATGGAACCGGGGCCAGGCGGAGAAAGGCACGGATCTGAAAGGCAACAGGGTATAGGGTGGGCATTGCCCAATGTTTCCATTTGCAAGGTTGTGTGTGGGTCTCGGTTTGAGGGGCTACCTCGTTGCTTCAGCAAGTGGGGTGGGGAGACCTGATTTTGCAGTGGAGGGAAAGGGAGAAGGAGTTGGGGAGGGGAGGGGAGGGGCGCTGCCCAGGACAGTAACAAAATTGGAAGGGACCTTGGAGGTCATCTATTCCAACCCCCTGCTCACACAGGAGACCTGTACCAAGTTGCCATGGCCGGGCGCTTTGCAATGCCAGGAGCCAGAAGAAGGGAATGGGGAGGGGGGGAATAGCTTCGTTTGCCCCCCTCCCTACCCGACTGGCGGGTGCTGAAACGGGGGAAGGCTTTTCCCTGCGCGCGGGGAGGGAGGGAGGGGACCCTCCGGGCAAGGCGGGGCGAGCGCCTGGGGGGGACGCTCGGAGGAGGGACGGCGGTCCCCGCCCTTTCCCTTCAGTGGAATTTTCCGGAGTAGCGGCGGCGCCGAGATGCGCAGCATAAAAGCGGTTGCGAAGCTGCGGGGCAGCGGGGCGACTGCGGAAGGTAAGCGGGAGAGCTCGTCCCGGGGCGGTGGGAGTGGGGGGGGGGGAGAGAGAGAGAGAGAGAGAGTGGCCGGTGGAAGGAGCTTCCACCTTCGGGGTGGGGTGGGGTGGGGGAGTGGGCAGTCTAGCTGGGGTTCCTTGCAAGGACGGGAAGGGATGCGCAAGCAAGGATCGGGTGCATCTTCAGGGTCAGGTCAGTAGCCTCCGTTCGTTCCAGCAGAGCTCCTGCATGCGAGGCTGTGCGCGGTGACCCCAGGAAAGCGACCCCCCTCCCCAACCTGAAGACCAGGCAGGGCTCCCGATGCCCCCGCGGAGGGGTACCAGGGTACCTCTGCACCTGCCCAGAAGGCTCCCTTGGATTCCCCTCTCCCCAAGCTGCCTTCCTTCCCTCTGTCCCCCCCCCCCATCCCACCCCACTTGGAAGGGAAGGCGACCTGGAGTGCAGGGAGTTCAGAAGAGGGAGCTGTCCCCCCCACCCCACCCCAACCCATCCCCCTTTGAATCCTCTCTCCCTAAACCCACACCTAATCCTCTACCTGCCTTCGGTTGGCACCTTAAGCAGCTTTCCTGTGACGTAAGTTGGGCTGAAAAGGGACGGACTGGCCCAAAGGCTTTTAATGGCGAAGGGCGGACTAGAAGTCACCGTCGCCTGGGTTTTTCTTTTTTTTTTTTTAACCTGGTGCCTTCTCCCACGAGACCAAACCGGCTTCAGGCGCATGAAATGATCCATCTCATTTGTGGGTGGGTGGGGGGGAGTGTCCCTTCTGGACTTCCTCCTTCATCCCTGCCTCTTCAATTGGGTAACTATTTGACTGAAGTGACGTAGGCTTCCCTGCCTATGCAGGGGGTTGGACTAGAAGACCTCCGAGGTCCCTTCCGACTCTTGTTATTCTATTCTATTCTATTCGTCTTAAACCTCGCTGCCACCCCAAAGGGATTGACCGAGGCTAGCAGTGGGGGGGGGGAAATGCTAGACTTACTGGCTTGCCCGGGAGGTGAATCTTGCTCGTTGAATCTTACTCGTTGTTTACAAGCAGACAAACACCCTCTCTCCTGTGCTTTGTTTTTATGGCTGTCTCTGCCAACCGGCAGGCAGGCCTCTAACTGGCCCGTTTCAATTTCAGGGATATCAGTGGGCAGGGATTTCCGGCTAAACGTCGAGCACAATGTGGATAGCATCTCCCCCTTCCGGTAAGTCAGTTACATAGCTGAGCACTTCCCCTTCCACCCGCCAGGTCTCCTCTCCCCCTCCAATTTTTATTTTCTTAGATGATGCTAAGCTGGCAGGAATAGCTAACATCCTAGAAGAGAGGCTCAAGATCCAGATGGATCTTGACAGACTTGAACCCTGGGCCCTGTCGGACAAAATGAAATTCAATGTAGAGAAAAGTAAGGTCCTACAATTAGGCAAGAAAAACCAGAAGTACACATATAGACTGGGTGAAACCGGGCTTAATAGCAGTAACTCTGAGAGGAAATCTTAGTGCACAACCAGCTAAATATGAGTCAGGAGTGTGCAGTGGCAGCCGAAAAAGCCAATGCAATCTGTTAAATTGCATTAACAACTGGATGCAATCACAATCAAGGGAGGTACTAATACCACTCTATAAAGCCTTAGTAAGACCACACCTAGAATCCTGCATCCAGTTTTGGTCACCACACTATAAAAAAAGATGTTGGGACTCTAGAAAAAGTGCAGAGAAGAGCAACCAGGATGATTAGGGGACTGGAGGCTCAAACATACGATGAACGGTTGCAGGAACTGGGCATGGCTGGTCTAGTGAAGAGAAGGACCAGGGGAGACAGGATAGCATCTTCCAATATTTGAGGGGCTGCCACAGAGAGGAGGAAGGGGGTCAAGCTATTCTCCAAAGCACCCGAAGGCCAGACAAGGAATAATGGATGGAAACTGACCCAGGAGAGATTCAACCTAGAAATGAGGAGGAATTTTCTAACAGTGAGAGCAATCAACCCATGGAACAGCAGTTCCCTTCGGAAGTTGTGGGAGCTTCATCACTGGATACTTTCAAGAAGAGATTGGACATGCCATCTGTCAGAAATGGTGTAGGGTCTCCTGCTGAGTGGGAGGTTGGACTAGATGACCTATAAGGTCCCTTCCAACTCTGTTAATTTAATCTAATCCAAATGGCTGGTCTTCAATGGGCAGAAGCAGCTCAATTCCTCCCCACCCCACCCAAAAAAACCCTGGGAACCAGAGGGGCCAATAATCTAGAAGGGAAGCCACCCCAAAGGCAACGGGGTCCTCTTTCGGCCCACAAAGTGTGAAAGGACAATCAACTCCCCTAAAGCTCAAGTGAGACTTACTTCGATCCGCTGCACCTGCCTCCTTTCTGCTTCCCTTTGCCCTGAAAGCTGTCCTTGGATTTTAGCAGCAACCCTCTAAAGCAGACGGGGGCCCATTTCTTTTGGGTGGGTGGTCTCTGGCTTTCTCCCCATCTCCCTTCCCTTCCACCCAGGGATGGGCTTAAAAAATTTTAGTATGGGGTTCTCTGCCTGGTTGCTGGGTGGGCGTGCACATGGCCTAGTCAGCTTCCTGCACCACAGTGGGGAGGGGCATTTTTGCCCTCCCTGGGCTCCGGAGGCTTTTTTTGAGCCTCCGGGAGGGCGAAAATGGCCTCCCTGGGCTCCAGAGGCCCTCTGGAGGCCTTCCCAAACTTCCATTAGGCTTGTTTTTCGCCCTCCCTGAGCCTCCGTGCGCACCCTGCACTTACCTGCATCCAAAACGGGCTGCGTGGGGACTCCTGGGAGAGGTAGGGAAGGGTGGGTGGGGCCAGCCAGATGTTGGATTTGGGGGTTCTCCGAACTGCACAGAATCTTAAGCTAGAGGTTCTCCCGACCCCCTGCGAACCGCCAGCAGCCCACCCCTGCTTCCATCTCTCCTGGTATGGGTATCTTCCCTGGGGACAGGTTTATGGTCTTGATGGCAAGAACTTAACTGCCATGTCCACCCGTTATCTGGCTAAGCTGGTCGAGTGCGCCCGTTCTCAAGACTGTAAGCCAAAAAAAAAAAAAAAAGCTGGTGAATGAATACATAACATGATGGTTTGTTGCTTTTGTGGCAAGTGATTAACCCAGCTTGGAGAGCTAGAAGTTCGGGCCCCGGGGCAAACTCTGGCATTGGGACAGGAGGAAAAAAACCTCAGCACTCAGACAGAGGCATCCAGCTTGGGCTTGGAATCCTTGGAATTGTTCTGCCCCAGCTACGGACCCCAAAGAACGCAGCACACACAAACTCTATACAAAGCTTATTTTACTCAAATAACTTAGTCTTTATCAACCAAAGGCTGTTAATAAACTGTCTTAACAGCCTACCAGAATTCTAAGATAAGGTAATCACAGTCTTACTAGAGTTGGCAGAAAACCCAGAAGCAATTTTGCAGAGAATCCAGACGCGAAGGAGAGTGAACTAAAGTTGTTCCCTACAGCTTGCTTCAGTCAGTGTTTCTCCTTAAATAGGCTAAGGGAGTGGCCAATTAGCCCCAAGCCTTACTCTCGAGGAGACCTCTTCCTGAGGAGCCACTCCTGCCTTTTGGCAACTCTGCGCGCCCGTGCATTGAGAAGAGGCTCCTCCTCTTCGTCCTCTTCACTTAAAGGAGCTTCTGGAAGTTCTGAATCCCTGCCTCTGGCACCACATCTTCTCCAGCCTCCTCACTGTCCGACTCGAGCGCCAGCTGCACAGGCTGCTGGCGCAGCACCACACCAGCCTCCTCGTTGTCGGAATCAGCTTCAATCTGCACAGGCTGCTGACGGGCCACAACAGGAATTTGGATTTGGGTGCAAATTGTTCTTGCAAGCTTAAACAACCGGAACGGATGCGCGATCTGAACTTTGCTCCTTTCTAAGTGATTATTACCGCTGCCTTTTTGTCACTAAAACTAACCAGCCAACGAATACACTGATAGCAGGGGTGAAATGCTCCAGGATCGGACCGGATCGCCCGATCTGGTAGCGATCTTGGCCGGTGGTTCGGCGATCCGGTAGCGATGGTGGAGCAAAGATCCGCCCACCCGCCCGGGTGTCATTACTTCCTGTGCATGCACAGGTAGTTTTGCACATGCGCAGAAGGTCTGTGTATGTACTTGTGCTTCCGAACCGGTAAGGAAGGTAAGTAGATTTCACCCCTGACTGATATGTTCCAAGCCATGTGAAGAAATGAGGTCTGTTTGGCTTTGTTTGCGGGGAGGGGTCTCGCCCTCCCTGACTGTGCCCTTCGGACTGTTCTGAGGCCCTGAATGAAATTGAAGGGATGCTTCCTGCCCCAACTCCCCCCCCCCCAGGCCCTTTGACCTGCTCTCCTTTCGGCACAGCCCTCCACATCTCGGATCTGTCATCTGGAATCGCATGAAATCCTCTGGCCACCCAATGCCCGCAGCTGCCCGCAGGTTTCCAATGAGGCAGAGAATCTAGGTCGCCGATGATGCGGGCAGTGGGTCATCCGTTGCCTCCTTGAGTCCCCGGGTTGAGTCAGCAGCACCTGCCCCTCCTGGCTGAACCCCAGCCATCTCTTTGTGCCAGGCGGGCTTGCCGTGTCAATCACCCACCGGAGTGAAGGCTTCAGAGGCTGATGACGCAGCTGCCAGCTTGTGTGTGTAGCCTTGTGGCAGGCGCGGGTATAACGCAGATGGACAGGATAAACTAAGCACGGGGGTGGGGGGGAGGCTGTAACACTTGAGGATGTGGCATGCAGGGCCCGCTTCCATCTGCATGCTTCTGCAATATATGCAGGCTTCCGATGCCCAGGATGTGCAGGCTGAAGACAGCTGGCCTTGGTCCATCTCATAACCTTGAGTTTCTCCCATTTGGAACCAAGAAGGAGCTGCCTTCCAGGCCGTGCTCAGAGCAGGGATGGTAACGGAGGGATTTCTTCGCAGCTGGCTTGGGTGGGGATCTTCTCAGCTTCTCACTCGTCGTCCTTTCTGATGTCTTCTTTCAGGAATCGTCCAATACATCAAGAAGCTTTTCTTGAGCGAGCAGGCCGGCCGCGCACAAGCCATCGAGTTCCTGCGCAAGAATGCGGCCAACTCGATCTCCGTGGCCAACCTCCTCATGGGCCTCTCCTCCGTCCTCTGCAGCCTAAACGGGTAGGTGGAAGGTTGGCCCGGAGCTCTGCCTCCTGGCCGTCGTGGCTCTCGGAGGGATCAACGCTGGGCAGATTGGAAAGGTCTCAATACAGGCCCTCAGCACCACTTTTGTGCCATGGCAGAGAGAACTGTGGGGCACAGTGGCAGCATCAATATACAGTAGTGGCCAAAATTGTGGAAACCTTTTGGGAAACGTTTTGAGGTTTGATGGCTAATAACACCGCTTTTTTGGGGAGTAGTGCCATAAAATTATATATCAATGGAAAGATAATTTGTGTTATCTTTAATGTGTTATGTGATCGCTATCAAGTTGGTTGGTCGTCTTTCATTTAGTGAGCTTCAGAGGTGGGTTTCAGCAGGTTCTGACCAGTTCTGGAGAACCGGTAGCGGAAATTTTGAGTAGTTCGGAGAACCGGTAAATACCACCTCTGACTGGCCCCGCTCCCATCTATTCTCTGCCTCCTGAGTCCCGGCTGATCAGGAGGAAATGGGGATTTTGCAGTAACCTTCCCCTGGAGTGGGGAGGGAATGGAGATTTTACAATATCCTTCCCCTGGAGTGGGGAGGGAATGGAGATTTTGCAGTATCCTTCCCCCATGGAGTGGGAGAAAATGAGGATTTTGCAGTATCCTTCCCCTGGAGTGGGGAGGAAATGTGGATTTTGTAGTAATCTTCCCCTGGAGTGGGGAGGGAATGGAGATTTTACAATATCCCTTCCCCTGGAGTGGGGAGGGAATGGAGATTTTGCAGTATCCTTCCCCTGGAGTGGGGAGGAAATGGGGATTTTGCAGTATCCTGGAGTGGGGAGGAAATGGGGATTTTGCAGTATCCTTCCCCTGCCACGCCTACCAAGCCATGCCCACAGAACTGGTAGTAAAAAAATTTTGAATCCCACCACTGGTGAGCTTGTAAAACGTAATAAAATTTAAGTAATGGTGCAAAGAGTTGACTGGTCACCCAGAAAGCAATGTAAAATAGTATTTTTAACTGAACAAGGCTACAGTTATACAAGAAATTGGAAGAAAAATTGGTGGAAACTTAACCAAAGTTGCATTTCTAAAGTTTTTGAAGAGATATAAGGAGACTCAGTTACTACAAAACCACACTGGTAAAAGGCAGGAAAAGGTGCACAACAGCAAGTGATGATAGAAGAATTAAGAGATCGTGCCTATGTGACAGAAGAAAATTACCTGGGTGTATACAAGATGAAATGGCGCCATGCAATGTGACGTTGACTGCAAGGACTGTTCGGCACAGACTGCAGGAATTCGGCCTCAAATCTAGAATTCCATGAAAAAAAGCCATTTTTATCTCTCAAAGGTTCAAAAGCATTACATTCTTGATTAAATTATCTTTCCATTGAGATAGATAGATAGATAGATAGATAGATATAGATAGATATAGAGATAGAGATAGAGATAGAGGTAGAGATAGAGATAGAGATAGAGATATATAAAACAAAGCATTCTAAAAATACCAGTACTAGGTATATTAGTAAAGAAAGAAACAGACATCCTGCGAACTCCAGAACTTAAAATTTTAAAAGAATTAAAATTTTATTTTACTAAGCTTTCGTCAGCCATCTGCTGACATCGTCAGCAAATTGCAATGGTTGACAAGCTAACATCACCCCCCACTGATAAGCAAGGTAGGAGGGAGGAAACAGTAGGAATTAAGCCTCCATCATCAGCATGATGGCAGCAAAAACAACACAGCTAATTATCAGTGGGAGATGGCTGGAAGAGCCTATTACACGCGCAATGGGCAAATTGATTAATGGCATATAAAGGCAGAGATCTCTGTAATGGTAGTTTAATACTCTGACGATGTCAGCAGATGGCTGATGAAAGCTTAGTAAAATAAAATTTTAATTCTTTTAAAGTTTTTAAATTTTAAGTTCTGGAGCTTGCAGGATGTCTTGCTTCTTTCTTTATATATATATATATGCCCCCCCCCCAAAAGTGGTGTTATTAGCCATCAAACCTCAAAAATACACTTTTCCCACAATTTTGGCCACTACTGTATATTTTCACACAGCAGTTTCTTTCCAAGCTTCAGACACCTCTCTGCTGCCAATGCCAAGCTGCAGTCTTGTCCTTTGGCCTCCGCAGGAAAGGTTGGGATCTAGCTGGATTCACGACAGAGAGAATTCCTACTCCCCAGGCTTTTCTAGATCCAGTGGGCCAGAGATCAAGTGGGATGGCAGGAATGAGTAGCAGATGGGGAGAGCATCCATGGACACAGGAAGTACCTGTGTTTTCTTCTTCTTCTTCTTCAGGCAGTACCACCACGCGTGCTGGCTGGTCCTGACTGGCTTCGTGCTGGACCTTGCTGACGGAGCCGTCGCGAGGCAACTCAACGCCTGCTCTGCCTTGGGTGAGTCCCCACCACCACCACCACCCTTGGGGGTCTTCCCCTCCAACTCACTTTAGTTGGCGGTCAGCAAGATCTGGCCAATCTCCAGACGTTGCAGAAACATCCAAACTATGCGGTAGTCAGTGTTAGCTAACCTTTTCCGGACGGAGTACCCAAAGCGTGTGTGCATATGCACGAACGCATGCATGTGCGCCCAAGCCCCTGCGCACGCAGCCAGATCACCCCCACATGCCCCCCCTGCGCATGCACACACAACCACCGCTGGACATGGGCCCCCCGCACACACCCCGCGCACGCGCAACAGACCCCGATGACCGGCTGGCCGGCAAGAGGCACATGCGCATGCACGGCAGAAATAAACTGGGGTGATGCCTCATGTGCCCACAGAGAGGGTGCTGCGTGCCACCTGTGGCACACGTGCCATCGGTTTGCCATCACAGTGGTAGGTAGTCCTTGAAGAGAGGAGCTCTGCTGAGGGGGAATCCAAAAAAGGACACCTCACTGAGGCACGGGAGGACCGGAGAGGCCTCAGTCCTTCCGAGAAGTTTGTGGCTGCTATCTAGGGAGCCAGGGACCACTTCTTTCAAACCGAAAATGCCCCCTGGAGCTGGGCAGGATCCCATTTCATTGCCTTTAGTGCCTCAAATGCCATCATTGGCCCCTCAACACAGTCTATTTAGCCTTAAGAGACTGCAGTTTTTCCAGCTGGGTATCGTTCCTGGGTCAGCATCTGAAGGGCGCCAGGTTGGGGAGGAGGCATTGATTCCCCCGTCCCCAATTAAGACTTATTTTCTGGAAGCCTCCACTCCTTTGGAGAGAGAGAGAGAGAGAGAGAGAGAGAGGTCATCCTAAGCAGAGGGAACGCTGAGGTTATTATTATTATTATTTTTTGGTGTCACCCAAATGAATGGAACCAGAGGCTTCTGTCCTTGGCTAGCGACAGTGGGCCGATCGTGGCTTTGACGGAGACTAACCATGTCTCTTTTTTGCATCGCCTGCAGGGGCTAAATTGGATGACTTTGCAGACTTCACGTCCTTCGGCCTGGCCACGGGGCTCCTTCTGCAGGCCCATGGGATCCTCGACGGATTGCTGGTGATTGTCTACGTGCTGGCAGTGTTCATGCGGCTGTGCTTCTTCTCCAGTGGTGAGTCTGGATGGAAAAGGTCTCATTGGGGTGGGTGGGATAAGGGAGGGGCTTTTAGAAAAGTTGTCCCACCTTTTGATGCCACAAGTACCTGGCCTAATTTTCCCCCTCTTTTAAACAATTTTAATATTTTAATTTTTAATATTTTTACTCCTCAAAGTTTAAATTTGTTTTAAATTGATTGGGGTTTTAATCTGTCTGGGCCAAACTATTTAATTCAATTTTATTTCTGTTTTTTAAATTTTGTATGTATGTATTTTATCGTTGGCTGTTCACCGCCCTGAGTCCTTCGGGAGTAGGGCAGTATACAAATCAAAGTAAAAGTAAAATAAAGTTTCCCTGAAAATACGACCTATTCCGAAAATAAATCCTAGCTTGATTTTTACATGTGCGCCCAATATAAGCCCTACCCCCCGAAAAATAAGCCCTAATTAAGACCCCGCCCATTCCAGGGTGCAGGGGATAGGGTGAGACACACGGGTAAAAATTAAGCTAGGGTGGGGATGTCCTTCTTACCAGGCCTCGCACACTCCGACACCTGCCTTGACTTGTAGGCCCACTTCTGTGGCTGCTTGCCGCTGCTTGTGCGCGTCGCCCCCAACCTCCATTTCACCGTCAGAGGCCTTCCAGAAGGCCCTCTGCAGCCTCGATCCAGATCGATCCTGGAGCTCTGTTATCGGCTGCAGAGGGCTTTCCGGAAGGCCTCTGATGGCGAAATGGAGGTCGGGGAGGTGCCGCGCACGTCAATCCGGACCTCGTTTCTTGGCTGCAGAGGGCTTTCTGGAGGGCCTCTGATGGAGAAACGGAGGCCGGGGACAACACGCGCGAGCAACGGCAAACGGCCGCAGAAGTGGGCTGGCAACGAGTTGCTGCTGGGCGGGGCTGTTGGTGATGCCGCCGCCGCAAGTTGAGTCAGTAATTAGACTCCCCCCCCCAAAAAAAAGACCTGGTGCCTTTTTTTGATGGCAAAAAATAAAATAAGACCGGGTCTTATTTTCGGGGAAACACGGTAGTCATTGCCAGCTCTCTCTAGGTTTAAGAGCGTTCTTTTCAACGGGAAAAGTGGCATCTCAATTCTGTGTTTTGTATAAGATTCTGGATGTTCCATAAAGGAATTGGCGCACTTTTCAACATGCCGAGCTGACATTTTAGATCTTTGTGATGACACAACATACCCTGTGCATTTTTTGGGGGTGTGGCTAGGGGATACGGGACTACGGTCTTCCCCTCAATGAATTCGTGCATATCTTTTTTCCTCCCTTCTCTTCATCCGCAGGGATGCCCTTCATGTACCGGGGTTTGCCATGCCCCTACGGTGCCTCCATGGTAGCAGCCACCTACTTCCTGACCGAAGGTCATCTGGTGGCCATGCGCCTGATGGCCATAGTGATGGTCCTCTTCATGGTGGACCAGGGTTTCTATCCCCATGACAAGGTGCTGGAGTCCCAGGCTTGGAAGAAGGCCATCTTCGGAGGAGGTATGTCCAGGGCCTTCCCTGACTTGCCCAGTCTGGAAAGCAGGGACGTGAAAGACTAACTAATGCACTAACACGGAAGGTGATTTTTCATTCAACTGCACACGTAGCAAAGCGCGCGATCCTCAAACCAGTTGTTAAACCGGAAGGATCCTACCAGTGGTTTGAACCCATCTAAGAACCTCTGAGCTGGTTTTCAGCAGCTCAGAAGTTGTTTTGCTAAGAGTCTCTAGAGCCGTGATGGTGAACCTATGGCACGTGTGCCATAGGTGGCACGCAGAGCCATATCTGTGGGCACACGAGCGTTGCCCTAGCTCAGCTCCAGCGCACATGCATGCGCTGGCCAGCTGATTTTCGGGCCTTCTGGGCCCACCGGAAGTTGGGAAACGGGCTGTTTCTGGCTTCTGGAGGGCCTCTAGGGGGATGGGGGAGGCCATTTTTGCCCTCCCCATGCTCCAAGAAAGTCTCTGGAGCCCGGGGAGGGCGAAAAACGGGCATATTGGGCCCACAGATAACCTTTTTGCCATTGCATGCCAAAAGTGGGGGGAGCACGGGGGAAGGTTGAGCGCGCAAGCGCGGGGGGGTTGCAGGGAGCATTGAATTATGGTTGTGGGCACGCACGCGCATGACCTCCCCGTGCTCCCCCCGCTTTTGGCACGTGACGGCAAAAAGGTTAGCCATCATTGCTCTAGAGGAACATTTGATTGCTCCAATCTGGGACACTGCAGTCTCATTAGACCCTGGAGAAGGGCTGGTTACAAAAATAAAAATAAAAAAGGGGGACTGTATGGTACGAGAAGCTAAAAGGGTTCGGTTTGGGGAAAAATAAAAATGTTTTAAATGCCCTTCGTTCTTAAATGTCCAAGTAACCCTGGATTCAGGGGGCAGTGAGGTCTTTACTGATGTTGTCTCACGTCTTCTGAATACCAAACTCCACAATTCCCAGTTGATCTCTTTCCTTGCAAGAACTTTATGGTAAATAAAGTCCACTCCGGTTTCCTCGGGGGAAAACCCTTAATGGGTAGGGATTAAAGCAAAGGTGCTCTGACATTCCAGAGAGCAGGAGTAACGGGACTTTGGCCCCCATAAATCAGGTGATCTGCAGCGGGAATCCACCTGTGATCTGGAGGCACAAGACTGTTGTGTCTGATGGCCTTAAAATGGAAAAGCCGACGGGTGTTCAAAATATCACGTGTTGCCAAGGGAGGGATTCAGAATCCGATCTTGCTCGTATCAAGAGGCTTCTTTTAACTCTTTCTCTCTTGGCCACTGCAGGTATCTTGGTGCTCCTGTTTCACGCCTCCTTCCTGGCCTCTCTCTACTTCCTGATTTGGTCTGTATCGTACATTTTTTTCCCCAACATTTTGTGGAGTTACAAAGTCTAATCTCGTCGGAGGACGTGAGTCAACGATGCCAGCACTGCACCAGTGCCCAGGCAGTCTTCACAGCGACTGGGACGACGAATCCTGTGTTTAAAAATCTGTATTTTGCCTAAAGTTTTTCATCCACCTGAAGTGATAAAACTTCTGGGAGACTTATCCATGGCTTCTGGCAGTGTTATCCTTGCTGCCTGTTGCCTGAAGAATGAAGTCAACAGCTGGCTAACAAGCTGAGCCTTTGGTCAGTGTAGATATGTACAGATTCTTTCTACCAAGATATATATAAATATACATATATATATATGTGTGTGCAAGTTTTGGTGTATTCAGGTCTTTTCCCATGTAAGATTGAGAGTATCTCAATTCCCATGTAAGATTGATACTCTCAATCTTACATGGGAAAAGACCCGAATACACCAAAACTTGCATACCTCTACCCATGAAAATCTACGAAAATACATATATAAATATGAAGTGCAATCTAGGTTTAAGAGGCAAAATTCTTGCTTAGATTTTTTTTTTTAAATGCCAGTAATTTACTTGCTGATAGCTTTTAGGAACATGGGGAAAACTTGAATGCAGACCTCTTTTCTTGCCACTTTTGTGGTGTTCTCACTCTAGATCCATCAGAGGTTCTTCCTTAACCAGATTTTTGCAACAGGTGAGCTCGCTGAATTTGCAACCTTTACGCTGAGGCAGAAGGGAGTCCCACTGCTTTCAGAGACAGATTTGGTCCTTAAGAAGTTATCTCTCACATGACTGCCCTCTTGTTATCCAGGCCCACACAAGTAAAAGAGCAAAGTCCGGCTCTTAATGGGCAAGATATTAAGCTATCTTTGACCCACAACTGATTAATCAAGCTCTTTCTGGGTCTTTTAAAAGACTCCACTACTTGTCAAGAGAGTTGTGGGTCTGTGCACTCATTCTACACTCTACGAGTGGGTAGCTGTTCCACAGAGTAGACAGGAAGCAGGGCATCTGAAAAATCTCAATGTCCCACCCAGAATCTAAGCCAACCTCCATCAACATGGGCAGGAACTGCTGCTGGAGACAGTTTGGGAATTATTCCCTCCAGCTGAGCCTGCAAATCCAAGTCCTCTTCTGGTATAAAGAAGGATCTCTGGAAGCAAGTTGCTAAGCAAAGAGGCCAGTATATGGCGTCCCTTCCAACCACACATCCCTCTGCCACCAGAAAAGGCTTAAAGGGAGGCGTAAACTTCTGCCAACATCTGTGAGCTGCCCAGCTTTGCAAAAGGAATTCTTTGTACACCTTAGTGGTTAGATCTCCGATCTACAATTCCACCCCGACTTCAATTCTAGCCAGAGTCATGGCAGACATTCTAGATTTGTGTTGTGAAAAGAGGAGCCCCAAATGCTTGTGTGGCAGATAGCGCTTTTAATGTTTTTTTAAAATATTTATCGGGGTAATGAAATACATTGGGAAAACAGTTCCTTCCCAAGAGCTGTTAGATAAAAAACACAAGAGAAAAAAAGAAGGCAGGAAGATGACATTGTGTCATTGGAAAACTATACTTGAAAACTAATGTTCTGGTGTTTGGAGGAAAAAAATTAAACTCAGAAAACATTGAAGAGACTTTGTCGTGTTTTGGGTTTTGTGTGTGCTTGGGAACTGTGACAAGTGAGGCAGACATTGATAAGGTTTGGAGCAGGGGGGTGGGGAGAAGCTGTGGGGTTACAATCTTCATCATCCTCTTCCATTACCACACAAATCTCACATTGTTGGCTACCCACTGCCTAGAAAGGCCACTGCCTAAGTCCAGAAAGGCCACTCAAATGGAAATAGACAAAAAGGGGGAGGAGGGGAGGGAGACAGAGAAAGTCAGCTGTGTGTCCGAGGATCACATAGGAGGAGGGTCATCAGGCTTCAGATATACAAAAGAACATTTCTGTGCAACAGGAAACCACTTGAACTTTATACCACACCAAACAATCAAGAGCCTTAGGACTCTTCACCCACAAGTAACACCTCCATGTGAAGAGGCAGACTACCCCGAATCTCTGTTGTGGGAAAGGGAGAAGGAGGGGAAACATTTTTTCTTCGGCTTTGTGGTTTTCTGGAAATATGACCATATCTGCACTGGACTTTGGTCTCACAGACAGATATTTATTTGCACACATATAAAACACACATTTATTTAATAAATAGGATTTACAAAAAACAGTTCAAACAACGAGAAACTCCATTTTGGCAAGGACTTGGACTTTTGGTGGATTTGGAAGAGGCTGAGAGGCACTACCGTAGCCCAGAGGAAAAAGGGTCTGGGGACTTCCCACCGTGGTTTAACAGACCACAGACCTTGAGTGAAGTCTTGTGTGAGGAGCGAAGATCTGGCTGCCTGCAGGGCTCACTCACTCGAAGCTCTCATCTGCTTGCAGAAGGCATCGAACTGTTGCTGCTCCAGCTCTGTCATCACCCGGTTGAGAGCATAGATCTGTAGACCAAAGCAGAGGTTAAGCCATTGTCCCCAAACTCTTCAATCCATCAATCACTTCGTAAAATTGTTCATCCACCCCAACATTTATTATAGGAAAATAATCTGATAAATACAATTTTAATAATAATGACAACAATAATAATAATAAAGTTCTTGAAAATGAACAGGTCAAGATCTTGTGGGACTTTCGGATCTAACCAGACAAACGTCTGGCCCATAACACGCCTGACATCTCTATTGTGGAAAAGAAAAGTTTGATTCTTTAATATTGGTATACCAGGTGATGCACGAATTGAAGAGAAACAACTCGGGGGGGAAAAATCACAAAATAATGCAACCTGCAAATTAAAGTTGAGCGATTGTGGAGGAAGAAATAAATGGTTGTACCAATAGTAATAGGAGACCTTGGAGCAATACCCAAAGGGCTGCCTAGATACATGGAAATTTTGAACTTATTAGACCTGAATATCCTGACTTTGCAAAAAAAAACCCACCCTACTCAGAACTATCTATCTATCTATCTATCTATCTATCTATCTATCTATCTATCTATCTACCTACCTACCTACCTATCTATCTACCTATCTATTTTTGTCAAGAAGGCATTTGGTAATAAGTATAAGCATGGATTGGATACATAAAATAGATACAAATATCTACAAATATACGTACTCAGACATTATCTTAACAACTCTTAGGTCCTTGGTTAGGATTTGGGACTGTTAAGTTTTTACCAGTCCCAGACTGTGAATCAAATTGAAGATTAAATCTTAAATAACAATAATAATAATCCAAACACCACCAATCACCTATCCTGGGTCCTTGGGAAGGACTTGATACATGGGGAAAATGCTAAATCTAAACATTTGCCTGACTGTGCAATGAATGATAACTTAGATGGTCCCACTGACCCTTGGTGTGTGTGTGTGTGTGTGTGTGTGTGTCAATATTGATATTTTTGGAAAACTCTGGGTTAGATCCTCAGGGGGAAAGCTGCCAATAGGGAAAGCTGCCCCTCCCACAAAACCGTTGCCAACCGTTTTAGGGCCTAGAGGAAAAGAAGTCCTCCACTTCCCCCTTGCCTACGAAAAATTATTTATGTCATCTTTATCCCACACCTTTACTACCTAATGCAGGTAGTCCTCCACTTACAACCATTCATTCAGTGACCAAAGTTAGAACGGCCCTGGAAAAAGGGACTTCTGACCATTTTTTTTCACACTTACGACCTCTGCAGCATTCCCCCGTGGTCATGTGATCAAAAAAATCCAGACTTTTGCTCATATTTATGACGGTTGCAGTGTGTGTGTGTGAGACCCGATCCCGTTTTGCTGCTTTCTGACAAGCAAAGTCAACGGGGAAGCCCCGATTCCCTTAACAATCGTGTGACTAACTTTTTATCAACTGCAGGCGATTCCCTTAACAACCGTGGCCTGGAAGGTCGCCAAACGAGGCAAAATTCCCTTAAATGTCTCGCTTAGCAACGGAAATGTCAGGCTTTACTTATGGTCGTAACTCGAGGACTGCCTGTATTCAGGAGACACGGAGGAGTCAAAACGGAGGGAGGGGCTTGGCAGGTAGCAGCGAGCTCCCCCCCCCACCCCAAATCTCTCCTCAGGAGTCGCCTAAGTGAGACTCAGCAGTGGCGGGGAGTTCCCCGGGCGAGGATGCTTCTTCTCTCCCCCCCCCGCCGCCTCACCCCACAGGGCTCCATTCCCTGTGGGGGAGCTGAGAGACCGGGGAAGGGGCGTTTCGTAGGGCCCCCAAGCCCTATTCCAGTTGGGCCGCCGCCTCAGGGGTCTCCTCAGAGACAGACCGCCGCCCACCTCGGCGCGCTGCCGCTGCTTCAGCTCCTGCTGAGCCGAGCGCTGCTTGGCTTTCTCCAGGCGGGCGTTGCCTCCGCTGGACCCGGGCCCCTCCTTGCCTTTGGCGGGCGGCAGCACCAGCGGCGGCGGAGGGAGCTTCTCGCGGCGGCCACCGCCGGGCTCCATTCCCCCTCAGACCGACAAAGACGTCGGGCCGAAGGAGCGTCTCACCGCGCAGGCGCCACGGCAGGCCGCGCGGGCCACCCTCTGACGTCACAAGGCTACCAACGACGACGGGGCGGCCTAGAGCGGCCTCCCCGAAGAGACAGGAAAGTCCGACGAGCGCCTCCCGCCGCGCCAAAGGCCCATTGTGGCTTGGGGGCGCGCGCGCGCCATTATATCTCTGTGACGTCACGAATCCACCATCGAGGACGCGCGCGGGCGGCCTAGACCGGCCTCCCGCAAATAGAATAGAATAGAATTCTTTATTGGCCAAGTGGGATTCGACACACAAGGAATTTGTCTTGGTGCATACGCTCTCGGAGGACATACATAAAATAAAAGATAAAAAAAATAAAATAAAATAAGAGGGAAGGCCGACGAGCGCCAAGCCAAGGGGCCACTGGGGCCAGGCACACGCCACCCACCACCACCACACTGTGACGTCACAAATCCACCATCGAGGACGCGCGCGGCCTAGAGCGGCCTCCCCCGCAAAGAGAGACAAGGAAAGTCCAACGAGAGCCTCCCGCCGCGCCAAAGGCCAACTGCGGCTTGGGCATGCGCGCGCGGGCCATTATCTCTCTCTCTCTCTCTGTGTGACGTCACGAATCCACCATCGAGGACGGCGCGGCCTAGAGCGGCCTCCTCCGCAAGACAGACAAGGAAAGCCCGACGAGCGCCTCCCGCCGCGCCAAAGGCCAACTGTGGCTTTAGGCATGCGCGCGCGGGCCATTATCTCTCTCTCTCTCTCTCTCTCTCTCTCTCTCTCTCTCTGTGACGTCACGAACCCACCATCGAGGACGGCGCGCGGCTTAGACTAGAGCGCCCTCCCCCCGCAACTACAGCAAAATCCGACGAGCGCCTCTCTCGCCGCGCCAAAGGCCAAATGGGGCTTGGGCATGCGCGCGCGCGGCCCATTCGCTCTCTCTCTCTCTCTTTCTCTCTCTCTGTGACGTCACGAACCCACCATCGAGGACGCGGGCGGCCTAGAGCGGCCTCTCCCCACAGAAAGAGAGAGAGAGAGGAGAGACCGGAAAGCCAGGCGCGCCGCTTCCGGAAAGGAGCGGAAGCCTTTTCATTCTGACAGAGAAGCTCCCCTCAGAACGGTCCGTTTTTATTTTCCTGGCCTAATTTCCCTCAGGCGCCGAAGGAGCGCCGGGGCCTTCAAAGCAGGCGAGGGAAAACGGCCGCCGCCGCCGCCATGGCGGTCCCTGCTCCGGGCTGCAGCCTGAAAGACGAGCTGCTGTGCCCGATCTGCCTGGGCCTCTACCAGGAGCCCGTCAGCTTCGGCTGCGAGCACTACTTCTGCCGCCGCTGCATCTCCGAGCACTGGAGCCGGCAGGAAGCTCAGGCCGCCCCGGCTAGGGATTGCCCCGAGTGCCGCCGGGCTTTCTCCGCTCCCGCTTTGGCCCCCAGCCTCAAACTGGCCAACATCGTCGAGCGCTTCGCCGCTTTCCCGCCCGAGGCCTCCATGGGCGCCGGGCGGGGAGGCCGAGGAGGGGCCGCGCCCTGCGGGAAAGCCCACGCCAAAGTCAGGCTCTTCTGCCTGACCGACCGCGCCGTCGTCTGCTTCTTCTGCGACCGGCCAGCCCTCCACGAGCAGCACCAGGTCACCGGCCTGGACGAGGCCTTCGAGGAGATGCAGGTCTGCGGATGTGGGGGGGAGGGGAAGGGGAAGGAGGAGGGGGGGCTTCCCAGGGGGGAGGGTGCAGCTCTGCCCTCCCCCTCCCCCCCCAGTTGGGGAGGGGGTCTCCCTGACTCCCCAAAATGGGTGCCAGGCTGCCATGAGGGAGGGGGGGGTCTCTGGCTTCAGGATGGGTGCCAAGCTTGGGCGGCTCCCTGCCTCTCCAGGATGGGTGCCAGGCTGCCATGGGGGAAGCTGGGGACGGGGGTCTCCTTTGGCCAGGCTGGCTATGGGGCACTCTTGCTTTCCTGGGCAAGGGGCACTTGGGACCCTCCTTTACCTCCTACCCACCCACCCCCGGCCCAGGCTTTGGGGGCTCCCTGCCTCTCCAGGATGGGTGCCAGGCTGGCATTGGGGAAGGAGGAGGGGGGTTTCTGGCTTCAGGATGAGTGCCAGGCTGTCCCAGGGGCTTCCCTGGGTGGGGGCCAGTTGGGGCCCTGCTTTGCACACACACACACACACACCCTGGGCCAGACCATGGGGAACCCCTGCCTCTCCAGGATGGGTGGCAGACTGGCATGGGGGAAGCTGGGGAGGGGGTCTCCTTTGGCCCCGGAGTGGGTGCCGGGCTGGCTATGGGCAGCCTTGGGGCCCTGCTTTACTACACACACACACACACACACACACGGGACAGACCTTGGCGGCTCCCTGCCTCTCCAGGATGGGGGGCAGCTGGGGAGGTGTCTCCTCTGGTCCCAGGGTGGTGCAAGCTGGCCGTGGGGCACTCCTGCTTTCCTGGGTGGTGGCCAGCTGGGGCCCTGCTTTGACCCCTTCCTCCGCATGCAAAGGGACTCCTTGCCTCCTCCGGATAGGTGTCAGACTGGCATAAGGGGCAGCTGGGGTCTACTATGTCTCTGGGGTGGGGGCCAGGCTGGCCATGGGGCACTCCTGCTTTCCTGGGCAAAGGGCACTTGGGATCCTGCTTTATCCCCTACTTCCCCCCCTGGGCCAGACCTTGGGGGCTCCCTGCCTCTCCAGGATGGGTGCCCGGCTGGCATGGGGGCAGCGGGGTGGTGTCATTTGGTCCCAGGGTGGTGCCAAGCTGGCCATGGGGCAGTTCTTCCCAGCTGGGGCCCTGCTTTGACCCCCCTCCACATGCAAAGGGACTCCTTGCCTCCTCAGGATAGGTGTCAGACTGGCATAGGGGCAGCTGGGGTCTACTATGTCTCCTGGGTGGGTGCCAGGCTGTCCAAGGGGCACTCCTGCTTCCCTGGGTGCAGGTTACCTTGGGCCCTGGTTTTGCACCCCATTCCAGGCCACAAGGACTCCTTGCCTCTCCAGGATGGGTGCCTGACTGGCCAAGGGGCTTCCCTGGGCGGCCAGCTTGGGGCCCTGCTTTGACACACATACACATGAAATACACATACACATCTTGCCTCCTCAAGATGAGTGCCAGGCTGGTATGGGGGCAGCTGGGGTCCACTATGTCTCTGGGATCGGTGTCAGGCTTGCCAAGGGGAACTCCTGCTTCCCTGGGTGTGGGCCAGTGGGCTCTGCTCTGCCCCTGTTGCACAGTAGCCATGGGGCAGGGTGGTGGGCTTCCTGCTTCTCCATAATGGATGCTCCCAGTGGGGTGGGTGCCCACTGGGGCTGGGAGGATGGATTGAGTTGGGGGCTGCCCAGACACTGCCAAGAGACCCTCACTCCAATGCCGGTCTCATTCCAGAGAGAGCTGAAGGAGCAGCTGCAGACCCTCCAGGACAGCGAGCGTGGGCACACGGAGGCCCTGGCTCTGCTGAAGCACCAGCTGGCCGAGACCAAGGTAAGAGCCGGGCAGGGGCTCTGCCCTGGGTGTTCCCATCCCCTGGTGACCAGGACCCACTCGGTGCCTGCCTGCCTCTCTTCCAGTCCTCGGCCAAGAGTTTGAGGGCCACCATCGGCGAGGCCTTTGAGCGGCTGCACCGGCTGCTCCGTGAGCGCCAGAAGGCCATGCTGGAGGAGCTGGAGGCCGACACGGCCCGGACTCTGACTGACATCGAGCAGAAGATCCAGCGCTACAGCCAGCAGTTGCGCAAGGTGCAGGAAGGTAGCCAGATCCTGCAGGAAAGGCTGGCAGAAACCGACAAGCACAACTTTCTGGCGGGCATCGCCTCTCTCTCGGAGAGGTGAGTGTAACTGGTGGGCAGTGCCAGGGTGCGGGGCAAGGGGCACAGCAGTGGCTAACCTCAGTCTCCCCTCCCCCTCCAAGGCTGAAGGGGAAGATCCACGAAACTAGTCTCACCTACGAGGACTTTCCCACATCGAAGTACATGGGGCCTCTGCAGTACACTATCTGGAAATCCCTCTTCCAGGACATCCAGCCAGGTGAGTCAGCTCCTGGCCCAGGTAGGTAGGTGGTGGGGAGACCCACTCCAAAGCCTTCACACCTCCAAAGGCCAACATAACCCCCTCCCCCCAAAAAAAGGACTTCAGTCCTTATATTTATCCCATTTGTCATGGCCTTCTTTGTGGTGACCCCCTTCCAGAATACTGAGTTACCATACTCCCTAGAGATGGGCTTGGCTCTTCCCCAACCAGGTGACCTCACTCTGGCTTCTCTCTTCTCTCCCCCCCCCATTCCCTCCCCAGTGCCTGCCATGCTGACCCTGGACCCGGCCACCGCTCACCAGCGCCTGATCCTCTCCGACGACTGCACCCTCGTCTCCTACGGCAACTTGCACCCGCAGCCGCTGCAGGACTCGCCCAAGCGCTTCGACGTGGAGGTGTCGGTGCTGGGCTCGGAGGCCTTCAACAGCGGCATCCACTACTGGGAGGTGGTGGTCTCGGAGAAGACCCAGTGGATGATCGGGCTGGCCCACGAGGCCGTCACCCGCAAGGGCAACATCCAGATCCAGCCCAGCCGCGGCTTCTACTGCATCGTCATGCACGATGGCAACCAGTATAGCGCCTGCACCGAGCCCTGGACGCGGCTGAACGTCAAGAGCAAGTTGGAGAAGGTCGGGGTCTTCCTGGATTACGCGAAGGGGCTGCTCATTTTCTACAACGCCGACGACATGTCCTGGCTTTACACCTTCCGGGAGAAGTTCCCGGGGAAACTCTGCTCCTACTTCAGCCCGGGACAGAGCCACGCCAACGGGAAAAACGTGCAGCCGCTCCGGATTAACACTATCCGCATCTGAGGACTCTCCGGATCTCCTATCTTCCCCCGGTGCAGAACAGCGAAATGAGTCCCGATGCGGGCAAAATTGTGAGCTTCTCTGGGTAGCGTTCTGAGCTGCCAGGACTGAACAAAGCAGGGGGGGGGAACCAGGTTGGCTTTGAGGGTTCCCCTAGGGCAGCGGCTCTGTGGACCGATGGCCCTTGGGACTCCCTCCTCGGGATCTACGACGTTCGCCGCTTTCAGACGCAGTGAGGAAGGATATAACGGGGGAGGGTCTTTTAAGATGCAGGGATGTCTGGTCGTCTTCTCGTCAGCCTTGTTCAGGCGACTTTTTTTTTATTTTTTTGCATGCTTTCCCCCCAAAGTTCCCCATCCTATCATTTTTGCAAAACTGGGGAAAGGGAGGGTCTACACTATGGATCTTAGCGGGTTTTAATTCCTGCTTTTAAGGTGGGCAAGGAAGCAAGAGGGAACAAGAGGACCAATCGGAAAATAAAACGGGGCTAACGGGTCTTAATTCTCGACGGGAGGTTTGTGTCGTGACTTGCGGATGTGTTTGTTAATTTATAAAAGGGGGGGGGGGATAAATAGAATTATTGGCTGCTTGTAATGCTAAGCGGGAGGCCTGGTTCCATACTTGCCAGCCTCCGCGTACAAAGACTTGAGGGCCGAGGTTGCATTAAATGCAACCTATTGCACTTGACTGCGGAATGAATTAATTGCCATTCTGCGAATCCTCCACATGGGAAGCCTGCAGGAGGCGCGCTGACCAGTCGAAAGTCCACTGGGTGGGTTAAGCAAAGCTGACCCCCGTTTCAGAATACAGGAGTCAGGAAGGAACCCCCCCCCCCCACCTCAAAAGGACAGACTTGGTGCTTCAACAGCAATCCTGTCAATCCAAACTCTTTCATGTGACACTCCAAGCAGGCCACAAGAGGGCAGTGTTGGCTTAATTCATGCCGTGGGATGTGGGGGGGTAGGGGGGGAGCTGTGGTGGTGGTGATGTGGTGGTGTCTGGGGAGGAAAATGCTCTTTTATGGGTTTGGGCAAGGAGGATGGCGAGAGAGTTCAGCGGGGAGATCCCTTGCCAGAGGTGACCGTTTTATGTAAATCTTTACGGTGGAAGTTCCGTTAAGTCTGTAATTAAAAGTTTGGCCAGTTGGACGGAGCTTTCTTGCAACGCTTCAATGTTGTTTTATGAATTTGGGGGGGGGGGGGGGGGGGAAGCTGACGGGGTGGGCTCGGCTGGAAGGCTGAGCCAGAGCCAAGTGGTTTTCGGCTTCATCTCTGTACTGCGCTTCGTTCCCTGCTGTCCCTTTTGTTCTGCTGTCTCTGCCTGGCACCCCAAAATTAAGGCACTTGGGTGCCCCAAAACCTGGCTGAGATGCTAGTTGTCGGAATGAAAGGAAATTCCACCCCGAGTTTATCTAGCAAACCCCCTTTTGTTCAAAGCCTGCAGTGTTGGCTGCATTCATATAAGACGTTTACGTCTGGTGGTTAAATCATCTCATTTTCTACAATTGCACTAAACCTCAAAATGGGACCGATGGGTGCAGCATAAGAGAGCCACAAAAAGAACCCTGCATTCAATTAGCCAAGTTTAGGGGATTAGATGGGGGAGTGTCAAAGGTAATTTCCCCCTCTGCTGAAAGCATTCGTGTCTTCAGTCTTCTCTGTCACTTCCTCCCAATGCCCTTGGCTCTCTCCCACACCAAAAAACCGTCTCTCCGGAAACAGCCGTGTGCGTCCTTGCAATCCAAGCTGAAAAGCTTTCAATTCAACCCCAAACCCCACCCTTCAAATTTCTCCCAAGTCATTCTTCCAGCTGTGTGAACGGTGCATGAATTTGTGTGGGGGGATGTGTGGAAAGAGTCTTAATAGTAGCGGCAAAAGATGTTTGTTCAAGGAATAATAAAAATATGAAATCATGGTGGCAAATCCCCCCCCTCAGAAAAGACATCACACACTGCAAAATCCTCCCCCGCGCGCACACTGCAAGTATGGCCACGCCACAACCGTTGTCTCATTTTTATTTCAAAGTGGCCCCCCTCTCAACAAAGGCCAAGAGCTGTAACACGCAAACCTCCCCTGCGGAAGGGGCTTTGTCTTGGCTACATTAGGGGAAGGGGAAAGGAAGAAAGAAAAGGGGGGGTTCTGAAGGTTAATTTAGGGAGGGCAAAGAAACACCACACCACACACACACACAGTTGTCAGGACACTCGACTGGGCCCTGCAACGCTCCTTATATAAGAGCTTAGACACTTAGGGTCCAATCGACACAACAACATGCTTCTCTGCAGCGTTCAGACAAACAGTTTTCCCCCGCAGCACCCTCTGACTCGCGGGTGTGCAAAGGCGCCCGGATTCCCGCTCTCGCAAGTCAGCCAGGCGCACAGAGCGGGGGTCAAAAGCGTGTGTCTGAAACCGGCTTCCCCTCTCGACTTCCCGGTGAGCGGCAGCTGCGCCCCCCCTTCCCCCTCCCCCCATTCAGGGGACCATGTTCCACCACTTGAAGGCGAATGGATTCCGCTGGACGTTGGTGCCGCAGTGCACCTCTCCCAGGCGCTTGTGGTAGGAGGAGATGTCGTCGATGAAGCTGCAGGCCAGCCCCAGGGGCTCCAGCAAGGAGGAGGCGTTCTGCTCCAAGCAACACTCGCCCTCGATGATGGGCCCAAACGGTTTGGGGATGCCCAGGTCCCTGGAGAGCACGATCATGTTCACCTGAGAAGACAGAATGAAAGGGAGCCTCCTCTTGAGCTCACGGTCGGGCAGTTATTTTCCTCCCAAAACAACGTGCTTAAGTGAGGGGTGTGCCACGCTAAAGAAAAACCAAGCCAGGGGTGAGTTAAGTCAGTGGGGGTAGGAAGAGGATTTGGGGGGACAGGAAATCGCCTTGTCTTTCGGAAGCTGACTGGAAAGAGGGGGTAAGCGAGCACATGGCAGGACACGGCCCCGAAAAGCCGTTGGCAGTACAGTGGTTAGAATGCAGTATTTCAGGCTAATTCTGCCCATTGCCAACAGTTCGATTCTGACCGGCTCAAGGTTGACTCGGCGACTTCCATCCTTTGGTAAAATGAGGAGCCAGATTGTTAGGGGGGGAATATGCTGCTTTCTTAATCCCTTGGAGAGGGCTGTAAAGCACTGTGAAGCTGTATATACTGTGTTTCCCCAAAAATAAGACCGGGTCTTATATTAATTTTTACTCCAAAAGACACATTAGGACTTATTTTCTGGTTAGGTCTTGTTTTGGGGGGAAATACTGTACTAAATGCATCCATCTGGCTGACAATCTTAACGGGCTTATTTTGGGGGTAGGGCTTACATTACACGCATCCTGAAAAATCATGCTAGGGCTTATTTTCTGGTTGGGTCTTATTTTGGGGGAAATACGGTACTAAATGCATCCATCTGGTTGACAATCTTAACTTGGGCTTAACCCGCGCTCACCATGTTGGGAAAGTAGGCGATGGCTTTTCCTCCTTTGTCTATCTTGAAGAGGGCAGGCAGGTCGATAATGTCCTTCTCTCTCACGCCTAGTTCCTTCTTGAGGATGTCGCGGTTCCAGTCGATGCACCTCTGGGGAAGGTGGGGGGGGGAAAGCAGAGGCCGGACCCAGCATTAGGATCCCTCCCAAACTGTTCTGTCCCCCTTCCTCACACAGGCAAACGTAATACCAAGCACGCCTGCCAATATTTTATTAGGTAAACAGATTAGAATTCTTGGCAGACCAAGGTTTTGGCAGCAAACTGCCGAATGCCTGCCAAGACCATTTTCGCTCCCATAAAGCAGAAGAGGACTTATCTTCAGTCCGTTCCAGGAGTAACAAATTATTCACGAGACAAGAGTTTAGTCAATGTTCAGTCCAAAATATATCCAAGCCGAATTTCAGAGATCACGATGTGACTTTCAGGGTTTAACTTTGAGCGTCACAAAGCCTGAAGAGCAATCCCACCCACTTTTATTCCTGGTGGGGTGTGGCTCCGTGACTCAGCTCAATCTCTGGCTCTCCCACGCCTCTTCCGTTGCTGCGCACACTTCTCCCTCCGACGCTGCCTGGGATCAAGCCAGGATTCATCATCCTCACTCCCTATCAATTGGTGCTCCGATATGCCTTCCTCCTGGCACATCCCCCTGGCCTTCGGATGGAACC